AAAAAATTCCACCTTTGTCCATAATCATAAGCAATAACTCTCCACTCTTCTTCCGACTGAGGCATTCGAGCATATTCATTGCGGAGTACTGTTGAAATCGCGCAACATACTTCTTTAATAATGCCCGGAATTGTGCGTTGTCCAATTCGGAAAGACAAGCGAAGGGATTCTTGAGAATCCCCTAAAAAAAATCAAGTATTAGGTATTTAGACTGAATCGTTTATAACTGTGCTACGTGCTACCAGTGGCTAAATATCTCAAGGTAATTGAAAGCCTTTCGGCCGCTGGAATACATTTTCGCATGACAGTGTCCTTTTTTTGTATAATTGGAGTCGCCTTCTCCAACATCAATTCAAAAGCTGCGGTGTCCATTCGTAAGCACCTGAAACAGTCGTTGTTTATGTTGAAGAACATCAATGCTAGAACTGGGCAAACGAAAGTTTTTTTTACATTACCTTCGAAATCTCATAGGATCTTCGAGCTAATTCCAAAAAAAGGTTTCGATGCATGCCTCTTGCACCGCGGCGAAGTAAATAGGGCTGCATCCAAACCGATTTTGGTTTGGATCTTTCTCTTCTTCCAATATAATGATATAACACAGCAACGCAGAAGAAGCTTTCCGACGACGTTCAGCGCTGTATTTTGAATAAGTTAGTTGCGACATTTTGACGTTATAAACATTTCAACCGACCAGTTATCGGTAACGGAACGGTGTCAAGTGTGATTGCAACCGCGACGGCAACGGCAACGGCTAACAGAATCGGCAACGGCACGTCTGATACGGCCTTTAGGGCGCCCCTAAAATAGTTGGTGGAAATGGCCATTACTATTATGAGATTATTAACCTATTCGCGATCAACAAACTGATTCTTAACAGTGAAAACAGCCAGCCAGCAGTGAAAGGACGAAAAGAAGAAATAAAATAGGCAGGTTCATCAGCAGTGACAAAAAAAAAGAGCTTATTGTGATTATACAACACACTGTACATTATTTCCATATGACACGAGAGGCTTGATAAGTGATAAGCCTTTTGGGATTATCGCGCTTGGTGGCATTTATAGCAAATTCTATTATTGAAAAAACACCACTCCTGCTTTGGAGTCGTGGTGTTGCTGCGTAACGCGTTTCGTGACAGGTAAAAGTATTATCCAGTAATCCTGAAACCTCTTGTGGTATTACATTCGATTATACAACTCACTGTACATTATTCCCATATGACACGAGAGGCTTAAAAAGTGATAAGCCTTTTGGGATTATCGCGCTTGGTGGCAATATTGTTCATTTGCTATTAATAATAATAAAAATTAATAAAGTATTAAAGTTTAGTTCGTTGTATAACCTTTTGAATACCACTCGATGTTTCAGGATTACCTAATACTTTTACCTGACACTCACCGCGTTACCAGCAACACCACTCCTCCTTCGGAAAAGTATTATCCGGTAATCCTGAAACCTCTTGTGGTATTACATTCGACAAGCAAATGAAATACCAGTGAATGTACAGATATGGAATAAGACAACAACAGAGATTGTCAAAGCAAAATAGAGAAAATTTCCAAACAGTTTTAAAGGACACAAAATTGTTATTTTTGTATCAAGTGCGCGAAATGTCATTTTGGTGATCGAGAACGAAAAATTTTTGACGTCGCGTAGCGGAGTCAAAAAATCGTTCGAGATCACCAAAAACATTTCGCGGCCGAGTTGTAAACAATATTTTTTCTACAACTCCATTCAAATATCGATCATTCGAAGCCAAAATTGCATTTCCAAGCAAAGGCAGGTGAATTTTAATTATTTTTGGCATCCTGACAGGTATGTGTCAGCATGACACCAGTGTGCGAACTACACTTTATTTTTTCCCAAGATAGATTTTGACATTGAAAACTTTGAAACATAAACAATAAGGCTTGACCCTGATTGGTCGCAAAATGAGGTGTTTCTGCAGGTTGACATCAGTTTTACAATAGTGACCAATAAGCGGCATTAGCGGCATTGTTTATGTTTCAAAGTTGACAATGCCAAAATCTATCTTGGAAAAAAATAAGGTACAGCTATTTCGTGTCATGGGAACGTTAAAAAATCAATACCTGGGAAAAAAAGTGTCACTTCGCAAACTGTCATGAGTGTGCAAACATCATCATTTTTTGACAGTTGTAGAAAAACAAATTATGAAACTCAGCCTTAGAGCAGGTAAAGCGCTGTCCTATGGACATAAGGAGTAGGAACGCGCCATTCTGCTTATGAAACTAAAGTGAAGCTAAGTTTTTGGCAGGTGTTTGGCACCAAAATACAGGTAGAGCATTGAATTGCCATAACCGCCATTTTTTGTGGGCCAAAATACCTGGAAAAAAACGGCTTCATTTTCCAAATCCAGGTTACTACAAGCACTCAGCACACTTTCGAGAAAAAAATATTGATAGAAAAAACAAAAATTATTTCTTCGCCGGTTGGAACTTCACTGGTTTTCACGATTTAAGAATTTTCTCACTCCGATTCAAGAATTTCCTTATGATAACTTTGTTTAGAGTTAGGCCGAAATATACTTGTTTACGAGTTTAAGATGCTTTGGGAGAAACCTTCTAGATAAAATAAGTTAATATTTTCAAAATGTCGACTGATATTCACTTATAAATATTGATTCCTACCTGATAAATGCATCGACATGCCCGCTCCCCCATTATGGTTCTGCATCTGTCCCAATGTTTTATTCATATATTTTTCCTGCTTTCTTCATTTGGCTCGCCTGTTTTGGAACCACACCTGCACTCTGGCTTCTGTCAGATCTATCCTGAGTGCCAGTTCTTCCCGAAAAAATACATCGGGATAGTGAGTTTTGTGGAAGGCTCGCTCTAGCTCTTCCAATTGGTAGTTTGAAAAAGTCGTTCTGAAAATTATTACAGAGTTTATCCAATTTGCGCTAACAAGCAACAGAAATGAAGCTTCTGCGCTTAATGTTTATTTCAGCAAATGTAACTATGGAAAATTGTATTTATATTGTATTTATTTGAAATAAACCAATTTATTTATTATTTATTATTACTACATTTTCGAAAAATGACTTATCACTCGACTTTTAACTCAAGCTTCTAACTGACCGTTCTTACTTTTTTACTGACTTTTAACTGTATGGACTTTTTATACGCGAATTTTGCGTCATTTTTGACCTCGGGCCTCACGCTTTTAGAAATTCTTTTCTTCGTGAATCCAAAAGCCGGCAAAATTTGCAGGTGTGCGTTTTCAAAGATTCGCGCCCGAATGCCGCCATTATAAATTATAAATCCGTTCAAGGAGACACTTCAAAATTTAATTTTTATTTTCCTCGGTACGAATTGTTACTTTGTCTCTATTTAAATTCCTGTCTCAAAGGATGCCGCCCCAGCTTTATGCCCGAATTTTGAAATTTAGGTTGGTATTGCTAAATTTGGAAGTGAAAAATATACAGGGTGACTCAGAGTAAATTTCCCTTTTTAACATGTTATAAAAACAAAATAAAACCTGTTGGGGCAATTTAAATTTTGGAAGTACAGAAATGCGGATTTTATTATTTAAACACAATATTATCCAAATGTCAACCATCCCTCGCATATAGCACTCCTCCAATGATGCTCTTAAATGTTGGAAGACTCGCTGACACATTTCAATAGGAATGTTGGAAATGGCCTCTCGAATGTTGCGTTTTAACTGTTCCATAGTGGCTGGGAGATCGGCGTAGGTAGACGATACTCTCCAAATATCCCCACCAGAAAAGTCTAGGGGCGTAAGATCTGGTGATCTTGGTGAAAAAACGATGCCCCCATTTTTCGAGATTACAGTTCCTCATAGGAATCGTTCGATTTGAAAAACGCCTCGACCATAAAGGCGTGTTGCTCTTTCGACCACAATTCTATTTTTACTGAAAATCCATAGGCATTCGTCGCAAATTACCAGCGCTATCCCCCCCACAAGTATTAAAGGGGGTGTGCGCCAAAAAAACAACTTCATCTCAAAAAAAAAGAGAAAAAAAATCTAAGAATAACAGTGAAATCGGCACCCCTCTATGACAAATAATACCGCAGATATGGCTCTATGAAGGTACCGCATCTCACCCTATGACGTCACGAAAGCTCAAGCAACGCACGAGAAAGTGGATTTAATTAAATTTTCCTACGACCATATACGAAAATGACAAAATCCGCACTAACTGGTTCTTTGGAAAGCGCTAAATATCACACGCGTACTGAAAGTACTTTCAATACACGCGCTTAAAATACTTTCAGCACATGTGTGGAAAATTCTGTTGACATTATTTGTGATTGACATTTGACATCACAATATACTTTCAATACGTGTATTGAAAGTACTTTCAGCACGTGTGTTGAAAATGAAAAGGAATAAAATAAAAGAAAATTGGTGTAAATCGGTTTTTGGTCGTGGGAAAAATGGTGTACATCACTTGTGAGAAAGCGTCTTTCATACACTCGTGTGATTTTCGCACTCGGCTACCGCCTCGCGCGAAAAAACACTCGTGTGAAATTTGTCACTTTCTACACTCGTAATGTAATATACTATTACATAATGTTTTTCCTGTGTTACCTGCAATAATCTAAACAAAAACCACTCACGCGTGCCGGGTACAATCAAATTAACAATGCAAAGCGCCGCTGGGCGCTGGACGAAGTTTTCGTGACGTCACGAGAGCGTCGTCCACACTTTAAAGCGGTATATCTCAGCGATGGTTTATCGTAGAATAACGAGGTTTGAACAGTTATTCTTAGATTTTTTTACACTAAAACTTTAATTTTTGGCACACACCCTCTTTAAGTTGGATGTATAGGGCGCTATTAAAAACGGAAATTTACTCTGTGTCACCCTGTATTTTAACATTCCATTTTAGAGATAGGGCTGCCCTATTGGGTTGCCAATAGAAAAACATTAAACCTGATAACTGTTCAAACTTTTATTTTTCACAATATTTCGAAACTCAAAATTGGTTCTTTAGATAAAATTTATGTTTCTCCTAGATTATCCTGATCCATTGAAAGACTTCCAAAATGAACGTGAAAGTGAGAGTCCGAATAGTTCAAGTTCCAAACGCAAACAAAGAAGGTACAGGTGAGTTTTTAGAAATTGAAATACATCTTTTCACAGGTCTTTAAAATACATATATTAATTTAGAAACCATTCGAGAGGTAAGTTTCTAAGCTGCAGAATTGATCTAAGTGATTAATATTTTGTTCAGATAGTACAATATTTTAGAATCTAAGAAAATAATTCTCTTCGATCGTCGGATTAAAGTACAAAATTGTTATTTTAGGTATTAGTGTATATAACCATTTGCATGTTTGGAAAGTTATTTTAGAACCCCTTACTGGTTATAAAACAGCAAAGTATTTCATAAAAAAATCTTAATTAAAATCACCGGATAGTCATTAAGCAGCCATAAACTCTGTAATAATTTTCAGGACGACTTTTTCAAACTACCAATTGGAAGAGCTAGAGCGAGCCTTCCACAAAACTCACTATCCCGATGTATTTTTCCGGGAAGAACTGGCACTCAGGATAGATTTGACGGAGGCCAGAGTGCAGGTGTGGTTCCAAAACAGGCGAGCCAAATGGAGAAAGCAGGAAAAATATATGAATAAAACATTGGGACAGATGCAGAACCATAATGGGGGAGCGGGCATGTCGATGCATTTATCAGGTAGGGATTAATATTATTTAGTGTAAATCAGTCGACTCGACGTTTGGAAATATTAACTTGTTTTATCATGAATTCGATAATGAGTTTATTACAAATCGACAAAACACAGGACATAATTAACCTGGTTAAGTATGATGAGACAAGCAAAGGTCACGGGTTCAAATCCCGCACTAACTCCAACTTTTTCAATTTTCCTTTGACTTTAATTTCAACAAAATTTTCTTGAAAAATATATTAGTTTCGGTATCTTTCTCTTCTCTCAAATATTTCTGCATTTGGATGTTACATTGAATAATATAGGTAGTGTTTTTCTTTCCATAGGTTGCCAACCACCAATGGAATCTCCCATGCTCAATTTTCAACCAACCGAAAACGTAAACTCTCCAAATCTCTTCATGGGCCTAGAATGGTCCAACATGGTCCAACCAATAACATTTTCAAATATCAATTCTACAGATCTACCTTGCGTTGATCCACATCAACTCATAGAAACACATGAAAATAATATGAGGTTTGTTGTTTGTCTAGGTAACTGAAAAGGTCCAAATTGCTAGATACTTTAGCAACAAATGTATTATTGGTCGGCCCTTTTCGCTTAAGACAATAGACACAGTAAAAGTTGTATCCAGTATTTTGAGTGCTAATTGATAAATTTATTTTAGTGATCAAAACCCTTGCCAGATTGACATATCGTTGGCCGATCGTCTGAGTAATCCCGACATTCTGGATAAATGTTCCTTAGAAAACGGTACAATAACAATTTCCATGGAAAATCTCCTGGAAAATAATAGTTCTCAAAAAAATGTCCAGAATAACGGCAGAACCTCAGATGCCCATCAAGTTTTGGAAAGCTGTGCATTGGACAACATAGAAAACTGTCCGATAGAAAAACGATTAATTTCCATAGACGATGCCATGGACGACTCAATGGAAACGACTAGAAATGTGCTGCTTTCTGAAATGGAAGAGGGTTGTATGACGTTGGGAATTTCGGGATGTAGTCGGGACGATGACGATATTTCGATAGATTCGGATTTGTTAACACTGAAACCTAGGATTCGGGATGAGGAATGTTGTGAAAGTGACGTGGAATAAGAATGTTAAATTTTTTTTAAATTTGTGAAAATTTTAATGCGAAATAAATATTAAATAATATGAATATGGAAGAGTTTCGTTGAAAATTACTGCAATTTTTACAAAACTATGACTCAGTAACCAATTTAGATTGGTGTTTGTTTTACTATTTTCAATACCTAATATGTAATTATTATGTAAGTTCTGAATAAATATTTCGAAAATAAAATTAAAATGTTACTTTTCACAACTCTTAAAGCAACCTGCTTGTTTTTATCTGTTAACGCAACAGTATTTATAAATTTGGTTGCTTCTCATTCTTATTAAAGAATTACTTAAATGTCAATATACGCACAGCTTATAAGAAAACCCAGGTGAGTGGTAATAACTTTTGTGTGTTTCGACAACCCTATGGTATCATTTTCATTTCTATTTCTATTTGTTTGCGCGATTTTCCAGTCACAGTCCAGTTTACTAAATTATCGAAGAAAAATCTTCAAATATTATTGAATCGACCACCTTGAATTACCTATATGGCCACTTTTGACGACGTACCTATATCATTAAAAATAAGGAAATTAGCAAGCTTTCACTCATTCAGCATTCATTTTAATATAAATATGGGCTTGCAGCATTATAGAATTTAGTCTCTAAGTCAGCTTTGTTATAGAAACATCCATGTATAATTTCATGTTTAATTAAAATAGAAGTTTTTAAAAACAGAGGTTGAGTTGCCTAATAATACTGTCACGAAGCCTCTCTTGCTCCGCTATGTAGCTCGACTATTCACCCTGAAAATCAGAACGGGAAGGGAAAGGGAGCACTAGAACAACTAACTAACCCAAACGCCATTTTTATACATTTATGAAAATTTTTCCTGACTTCCGGTTTCATGGGAAATGATCGGAACTTTTAATTTTTAAATGGCACACCCTGTATTTTTTTTGTTTTTCGGATTCTACACTGGTGTCGTCACAATAATGTTATAATTACAGTGACTCTATTACCCACAGTGTATGTGTGTCTGTCTTATTTTTCATTTTTGATTGGTTCTAAAATCCCATATATTTATATTGCAAACACCGCCACGCCATCTTGTGCCCACCTATTGCTTATTTCAAATCTGAATATATGGGATTTAGGTGAACATCCATCATAAAACATGGAAAACAACGGATTTGATGGACCTAATAATAGTCATCAAATACGTCGATTCCAAATTTTTACGATAAATGTCCATTTAAATCCTATATTTAAAAGTAACAAGAGGTTGGGAACAAAATGGCGGCGAGACCTCTATTGTCGCCACTGTATGTAAAGGTTTATTTAGCAACTGTAGTTATAATGAGGGTAAATGGCCGTTGGTTGTCTAACTCAGGTAGGCATGCACCGTAAGCTAATTTTGAGGATTAGTTATGAAAACCTGGATTACATATAGTTTACTTATGCACCACAAGAAAAATTCGGTTTAAGCTTCAAATTATCTAATCGGTCAACGATGCGTGGATTAGCGGCACGGTGTCCAACCTAAAAGTATTTCTTGGCACCGATTTTGAATTCTGATTCTTTTACAATTTTTTCATTATTCTGGCTGGGGTGTAAAATGGATTTAGAGGACGAAATATTTGTAGATGATGATCTCGGAGAGTCTACAGTCTACGAAAGAAGTGATTATTTCGACAATATGGACACATCACACATCACTAGTTTTTTCGAAGATTTCGAATTCGAAACCTACATATCCCCACTTCCTGGAGAACATAAAAGAAATTAAATTCCAAAATAATATTTGTTACTTGATAGATAGAAGAAAGTATGTCTTTCTGTGAATAAGTTGGCTAACTAGATCATCCCACCTCATGCACCTTCTTCAAATCCAACTTATTCTACGGGAAATGCCCCGCTACATAAGCACTTTTTTGGTGATATGAGGTGTAGTGGGTAGTGGTATAACAGCTACAGATAATAGCTAGTATTTAGTCTTTCTAACTGCTTGACGGTTCTATGGCAGAGTATATAGGGTCATTTCACTGGTTCTCGGCCTGCTAAGTAAGAAATCGACTTTGGAGGTGTAGGTAATATGGAAAAAAAGTGTTGGATCAACAATGTAAGGATATTAAGTAAATCTTTGGAATGTTTTTTATCAAAAATTAGTTGTCTAAACCATAGATACAAAAATCGAAAAAATTAATAAAAAATTAAAAAAACGTAATTTTTTTAGTTCTCGGCCCCTCGCCGCAGATATCGGCCAATTTTATATCAGTTCTCGGCCATACAATTCCAGGTATTCGAAGAAGACGTCTGATGTCATCCAGCCTTTCTCGGATTTGTCTAGAACCCATCCATTTGGCATGTTATCAACTACCGCTCTAGGCGGTTTTACATATGGAAATAAAAGCAAAGGTGGAGCAAATTTTCCGTCAGCGTTAAACACTACTAAAACTGTCATGTTCTCTTTTGCATTTCCTTGTTGAACGCTGAACAAATTTTTAAACCCCTTTGGGCCGAGAGTTTTACCAGATTTGGGGCAAAGTGAAAAACCGGATTCATCTTATTTGGAGAAAAATCTGGAAACTCTTTGGTTCAGTTAATAATACAACCATTTGCGCTTATGAGAGCCTTAAAAGATAGATAACGTCACAGAAAAAAACAAAAATGTACATTTCTTTGTGAATGTTTTTGTCTCAGTTGGTACCTTAAGTCTATGGTACCTAAATGTGTACTAAGTGAGACTAGTACAAGTACCTACAAACTGAGACGTAGAAAAATATTTCTAATACGAATAATGCGATATCAAAATAACACAGATGTAGTTACCTTAACATATAATAACAATTCTTCCGTTTATTCGTTTAGTTAAAAAAAAAAACTAGCGAATGTTAACTACTATGAACTGAAGTTGATTCCAAATTTGTACATCACAGATTGTCGCTTGGGTACCTAGTACCTGGAATAGGTTCAGGAAGTAGGTATCAGAGCTATTTCATTCAAAGTAATGAAAGATATACCTGGCACAGTCGAAAAGGAGAGAATTAGAAAATTTAGCACTCTTACGAAGAAATGACAGTCTCACTAAGTACCAAATATGTTCTCATTTAGTACTTTTTTGTTTCGTAAATTGAAAGCCACTAAAAATCACATTCATGTTAAAAATGGACTCTATCCTATCGCTATGTGGAAAGTGCGTTTAGTGACCAAAAAGTATAAACATTACATGATGTTACTCTATTCTACAAAATGAATTGATAACAGATTATCTGAAAACATAGGAAAGTAACTGGCTCAAACTAAATTCAGTTTTCACCTCAAAAATCCGTCAAATTTAAACAAAACAACGTGAAATTTCACAGAGAAGTGTGCCTTTGTTATGTTAATCACCCCCTACGACAGACAGAATTTGGAGGGAAATTTTAATACCCGCCCTTAGTACACCGTCTCACCTAGAGGTAAACAAACAGGCGGAGCTTAAATAAGTATTCAGTACAGTGACTCTATTACCCACAGTGGCGACAATTGCTGTCTCATTTTTGATTGGTTCTAAAATCCCATATATTTATATTGAAAACGCCGCCATCTTGTTCCCAACCTCTTGTTACTTTTAAGTGTGAATATATGGGATTTAGGTGAACATCTATCATAAATCATGGAAAACACGTTTTTGATGGACCTGATAATGGTCATCAAATACGTCCAATTTCAATTTTTTATGATAGATGTTCATTTAAATCCTATATATTAATATTTAAAAGTAACAAGAGGTTGGGAACAAGATGGCGGCGGGACCTCTATTGTCGCCACTGTATGTACAGGTTTATTTAGCCACTGTAGTATTCAGTGGACTGCAAAAAATAAAAATATGTACAACTAGTGAGCAATTTAGATTAAAACAATATCAAGTTACACAGATTCCGCTGAAGAATTCGTTCGGAAATATTTCCAGAGAAGAGAAATACAAAGCAACCTAAGGGCAGATATTATAAAACTTCTTTGACAGTTAACTTAAAGTTAACTTTTTGAATTACGTTACGTGTAATTCCAGAAGTTAACTTTAAGTTAACTCTCAAAGTAGTTTTATAATACCCATCCTAAGACGGTCCTGCCTAGGGCGGAGTATGGCTCTGGAACGAAAGAGCGCTGTAACAAATGAGCACTGTAACAGAAGAGCGCTGTAACAAAAAGCGCTGTACCAAAAGAGCGCTGCATAAAAGAGCGCTGCACAAAAGAGCGCTGCAACAAAAGAGCGCTGTAACAAAAGAGCGCTGTAACAAAACAGCGCTGTAACAAAAGAGCGCTGTAACAAAACAGCGCTGCACAAAAGAGCGCTGTAACAAAAGAGCGCTGCACAAAAGAGCGCTGTAAGAAAAGGGCGCTGTAACAAAAGAGCGCTGCACAAAAGAGCGCTGTAACAAAAGGGCGCTGTAACAAAAGAGCGCTGTAACAAAACAGCGCTGCACAAAAGAGCGCTGTAACAAAACAGCGCTGTCTGAATTTCAAAAAGATGAATTAAGTAAAAAAGGATAGAGAATGGGTCGCATTCCGAAGACGGGTTATTTTGGGTTAGATTGGGTTATTTTGTATTCTTATCTGTTCGAGCAATTTGACGAAATTCAGAAACAGAGATTGGGTCGCATTCCAAAGACGGGTTAGTTTGGGTTAGATTGGGTTATTTTGTATTCATTTTCTGTTTGAGCAATTTGATGAAAATCGGAAACAGAGATTGGGTCGCATTTGTTTGGGTTAGTTTGGGTTACTCTTTGGTTACAGCGCTCTTTTGATACAGCGCTCTTTTGTGCAGCGCTATTTTGTTACAGCGCTCTTTTGTGCAGCGCTCTTTTGTTACAGCGCCCTTTTGTTACAGCGCTCTTTTGTGCAGCGCTGTTTTGTTACAGCGCTGTTTTGTTACAGCGCTGTTTTGTTACAGCGCTATTTTGTTACAGCGCTGTTTTGTGCAGCGCTCTTTTGTGCAGCGCTCTTTTGTTACAGCGCCCTTTTGTTACAGCGCTCTTTTGTGCAGCGCTGTTTTGTTACAGCGCTCTTTTGTTACAGCGCTCTTTTGTAACAGCGCTCTTTTGTGCAGCGCTCTTTCATTACAGAGCCGCGGACTATAATCCTTTTCTAGCCAATAAAATTCGACTTTACCTGTCAAAGTTTGTTTACTTTCACTATCTCGTTTCGTGAAATGAACTTTAGTTATGATGACGTCGGAAATGGTGACACACCAATATGGCGGCGATTACCAAGAAGGAGGCCGATAAGCAATCCTATAAGTAATGTCGTATTACATGCCGAGGTGGAAAGTATTTCATTATTGTCGAGAGATTTAGTTAGACCTCGGCTGTGCTCATTTTTCCGGAACAGCTCCGGGGCGTTACGCGCTTATTCCTTTCGAAAAGTGTTTGTTAACTTTGCACCCGAGTGCTCAAGCCTGAACTCAAACTATTTTTAATGCACGAGGAAAGCTAGCGCATCTGTTCCTTTTCAAATCGAGGTCGACTAACACCGGAGCGAGTAGCTCTAGTGTTCTAAACTCTTGGAAGGAATAAAACAATAGCTAGTGTCCACTACAGGAGGTAACCTATACGTTAATTTAGCTCACTAGCGAAGTACCATCTGATACAAGGAAAAAGATTAGGAACTTTATTGTAAGAATAAAGGATACGTTGTCAGAAAAGGCCTCTGTAAATCCCCTAGCCAAATTGTTCAAAAATGATTTTGGAGACTCATTTTGGCCCACAATTATGTTAATTTTGATTCTTTTTATCGTAGTTCTATAAAGCTAAATAAGTTGCAAATTAGTTATTCGATTTTTGGTATTAACAGCGCACTGGGTTCAATACTGTAACATGCTTTGGAGTGTGACGTTCACGGACTGTGACTCCAGAGTAGCTCGAGGCTCAAGTTCTTGCAGTGCTTGAGGATGGAGATTAATCGAATTTCGCGGTTATGAGTACTAGGCTCAACGTGGAGCATTGGGAATATTAGCCGTGTTCGTTTTTGTCATCTTTTTCGTCAATTTACTCTCAAATTTTGACAGGCATCTGATTTGTAAATTGAAACTGTCTGATCCAGTCACGTGCCTGTCAAAATTTCGGAGCAAATCGACGAAAAAGATGTAAATTAATCAACGCGGATCTTATGAATCATAACCCAAGGAACTGACCGCTGAAATGATTTGGTTATATGGTTATAGCAGTGTAGGATTATGTTTATTATTCATTTGTTTTTTTGTTTCAACAATAGTTTTTTGTTTAGGTACAAAAAATGGAGCTGAATCTCTCGTTAGTCTCGTTTATCGAACAGATTTTCTTTGGGGATGATCTAAACCTCGATCTAAACATGGTGAATTGCAGTGAGTGAGTGAATGTATACTTCTTTCATGGTGCAAGGCTAAAACGCAACTGCAAAACCACTGTAAAATCACCATACACCAATACAAATTCCAAAAATAATAACAATAACATCAAAAAGCTGTAACCAAAAGATTAACCCAAGTCCAAAGCTGGGTTATAATCGGTTATAAGTGGTAAATAGCAAAAGCAAATCAGCAGATATGATGTGACGTCACAACTTCCCCTATTTTGGTTAAAACCGCGACGGCGGAAATGCATTGGTTATAACCAAAAAATAATCATTTCAGGCTGAAAATCGCCTTTAATAAAAGATCAAGACAGTTATAGTTCGGTGCACTTAATGATCTAGAACTGTTCAGAGTACACTTGAATCATAACTGTTCTGGAGTAGTTCTTGCACCATCCCTGTTCTATAACTGATGGCATTGACAGTGACATTTGACATTTTAAATTTGAATTTCCAGCTGCTAAAAAAACCCATTCCAAATTCCAACCAACAACTAACAAAAATAGTAAATTTTGGGGCTCATGATTTTGATACATTAAAATTATGAAACCCAAAGTAAGTACCGGCTATTTGACTCCCCAGGGCAAGAAACCGAAACTTGCAAGCAAAAGACACAATATGTCAGTGCGAGAAGAAGAAAATGAGACCCCAGAAATCAACTCCCAGCTGGTCCAGGCCCTGCTGCAAAACCCTGAAAAGAAAAAAATGATTTTGCAGCTTTTAGCTTTAAACAAGGACGTTATTGAGAAACACAGCAGTGGAAGCTCTTTGCCAAGTTCAGTTGATAAGCTAAAAAGTAGAAAGGTTTGTGAAAGCCCTACAGCTTTGATGAGACGCAGGGCTTTGGAGAAAATGAACAGTCCAAATGCATCAAACAATAACCTGTAAGAAACTTGATTTGACAAACAATTATCACTCTTTAATATTAATATGTTTAGATTATCAAGACCCCATTCAAGTAGCAGCTCCAGTACATCCTCAGCAACAACCTTAGACAAAGTTCTAGAAGGGGTAAAAGCCTATGTTGAAATCAAAGACAGGCACAATCAAGACAAATCCCAGGGAGCGAAAGAAATCCTTAAATCAATGGGGGCCACTGTGGTGGACAAACTCAGCAGTGAAGTCACTCACGTAGTATTCAAAGACGGTTCTTATAAAACCTTCCAGATGGCCAAACTGTTAAAGGTGCACATAGTTTCGATTTTGTGGGTGGAATTCAGCAGGAAGACATTGCAGAGGGCCCAGGAGAAACGGTTTCCTGCTATCGGCAACGAGTTTGAGGATGAAACTATAGTTTGTTCAGTAAGAATTGTTCTCTTTATTTATTTATTGGAGCTTTTAAAAAGATCAAAGAAATCCGGGGTTGACAAAAATCCGGCTAATTGTATTCTGGACTTTAGAATAGCTGAAATCAGTTCTGTGAGAAATTTTTGTTTGTTTGCATTTTTAACAATTTTCTGAACATACAAACACAAAAATTTTGCTGCAGAAATAAGCTGTTTCCATTTTCCGGAAAAATTTATGAGTCTTTAGAATAGTTGAAATCAATTACCTATGTGAAAAATTGATATTCCTTTGCATTGTAAACATTTTTCTGAATGTAAAAAAGGAAAAATTTTCTCGCGGAAATACACAGTTTCTATTTTCGAAGCCATTCAAAAAACGCCTCTTCCCGAACTTTGATGAAAATAAATGCGGAAAATTATATTTAAAATTGACGATTTGGCCCACCCTTCGAAAATCAACTACGAAAATTCCCTACTATTGGTCGCTATGGGCGCGCTTTGTTATCAACCAGTACTAGTCCGGGGGCCGAGGACCTTTTTTCTAAATCATTAATAACAAGCTAGTTTTTTCAATGCAGCTTCATTTCACCGAGACGCCCAACTTTTTTCTCTTCGAAAATTGCGAAAACAGGTAGCTAACATACTGCGCAGGTGTAAAACATGTCGATTTGGTGACTATGAAAATTTAATTAATAACAGTTAGTTTTTCAGCTAAATGTTGAGATAATTTTATGAATAATTTGAAAAAACATTTGTCCGACAAAATAAAGGGTTTGGTCTACGATGCCCCCCCCCCTCAAACATGTAGCAATTACGTTGCATAAAAAATGATTTATAACAAGTTGATTTTTTCAATGTAGGTTGGTAAATATTATTACAATTAAATGGTCACACTGTCCTACAAATAAACAGGTAGCTATTTTCAGTCCTACACTCAAAAGTTGTCGATTTCACGATTTAACTTTTTTCATTAATAACCGGCTAATTCTTCGTGAGTATCTTTATTTTGATAAGACGCCCAAATTTTCTGTTGCGAAAATTCCAAAAACAGGTAGCTAACAGAGTGCGCAGGTGGAAAACATGTCTATTTGGTGATCATACAAATGTAAATAATAACAGTTAATTTTGTAGCTGAATGTTGAGATAGTTTCATAAATAATATGAAACAACATTTGTCCGACAAAATAAATGGTTTGATCTAGGCTGTCTCCCTTCTCAAACATGTAGCAGATACGTTACATAAAAAATGATTTATAACCAGTTGATTTTTTTAATGTAGCTTAGTAAATATTACTACAATTAAATGGTTACACTGTCCTACAAATAAAAAGGTACATTTCTCCAGTCCTACACTCAAAATTTGTCGACTTCACGGTAATACTTTATTCATCAATCACCGGACATCGGCTTAATCTTCTCGAGCATCTTCGTATTGATAATACGCCTAACTTTTCTATTGCGAAAAGTTGCAAAAGTAGTAGCTACTGGAGTGAGCACTAGTGAGCACATGTAAAATACCTTGATTAGGTGATTATGCAAATGTAATTTTTAACAGTTAACAGTTAATTTTTCAGGTGAATAATGAGATAATTTTATAAATAATTCGAAATTCGATTTGAGCCACAAAATAAATGGTTTGGTCTTCAGTGTCCCCTTTCTCAAAAATGTAGCAATTACTGGCTCATAAAAAACGATTTATAACCAGTTGATTTTTTTTACTGTAGTTTGGTAAATATAACTACAATTGAATGGTCACATTGTCCTAAAGAGGTAAGATTTCTCAGCCCTACATTCGAGAATTTCGAAAATAGCCTTATGCATATTATACGTAAATATGTACAGGGCTTTCATTTCAAAACTTACCACCCACGTTATCTGCGTAAAGAGACAGATTTCTGGAAAAAAAGATTAAATTCGAGAATTTTACCTTTTGTATTTTGAAAAATATAATTATTAAAATATTTGATTTTTGATATTATTTGAAATGAACATACCTATCTCTTTTATTTTTGAGCTGTCGATAAAATATTATTTGGAAAAGTCATGTATTTTTTTAAGTTCCACATTATTTAAAAAGAAAAACTCTAACTTAGAAAACAACCTGTATTCACCCTATATACAGCAAAAAAGCGCGCCAGATTTAATACATTAAAAAAGAAGCTCTATTTTTTTTTTAAATATCTTTAGAATTAAGATGAACCGGTTGGATCAAACCTTCTCCATCTGGGTATGGAAAATGACAAAGGGCATGGCCACCTCTACTTTGATGGCATGCCAAAACTCTTTTTCGAGCAATTCAAATCTGGCGCGCTTTTTGAATCACCCTATACTACGATACTGTGTTATTTACGAGCATGCGCGTCGATGCGAATGGAAACCATCGACATAAATGTAGGTATGTGTACATACACATAACACATATACTGTTATACACGCATCTGTATACGTACATATATGTACATACAGGGGCTTTCATTTCGAAATTTGCCACCCACGTTATCTGCCTAAAGAGACAGATTTCTGGAAATCGCCGGAACACGTCAACAAATTAACGCACCCCCTCAATAAATTTGTTGACATGTTTCGGCGATTTCTAGAAATCTGTCTATTTACGCAGATAACGTGAGTGGCAAGTTTTGAAATGAAAGCCCTGTACATATTTACGTATAATATGCATAAGGCTATTTTCGAAATTCTCGAATGTAGGGCTGAGAAATCTTACCTCTTTAGGACAATGTGACCATTCAATTGTAGTTATATTTACCAAACTACAGTAAAAAAATCAACTGGTTATAAATCGTTTTTTATGAGCCAGTAATTGCTACATTTTTGAGAAAGGGGACACTGAAGACCAAACCATTTATTTTGTGGCTTAAATCGAATTTCGAATTATTTATAAAATTATCTCATTATTCACCTGAAAAATTAACTGTTAACTGTTAATAATTACATTTGCATAATCACCTAATCAAGGTATTTTACATGTGCTCACTAGTGCTCACTCTAGTAGCTACTACTTTTGCAACTTTTCGCAATAGAAAAGTTAGGCGTATTATTTATTTATTTATTTATTTATTCACGGGATGTCCCCATTTTACAAAAGTATAATTACATTAAGTAATTACAAAATATTCCATTCTAACCAATCAAATTAACAATTATAATATAAAATTATTTAGAGATAATCTGGCAACTTAAATAAAACAAAAATAAAAATATTCCATTAAAACTAACATTTTCGCTAATACCCAGATTCAATTTATATTTCCAATATACCTGCTCAGACACTGCTTAAACCCTGTATATTTAATATCAATCAGATCATAATACTGGTTGAATTCATTTCCCAAAATCTGAATTCTATTAATAGGAGAAAATTTACCATAGTTTGTGCGATGGTACACAACCGAAAACAAAGGCGAGTTTCTGACAGTACGCTCACTGCATCTAAAGTTCATTAGACCCAGCAAATCGGGACAATGAATATCGAAATTGAGCAGCTTATATAAAAAGTTCAAGTCACAGATAACTCTGTAATCTTCCAGAGAAATGAGGTTCAACCTCGATCTCAGATCCACCAGCGATATATTTTGCAAGTTAAGTCTCCAAGCACAAGTTTTAAGGAACCTGTTCTGCACCCTTTCAAGGGTGAAAATGTGACTTGAATAATGGGGAGACCATACTATCGAAGAATAAGACAAAATACTACGGACAAGTGTTAGGTACAGGACTCTAAAAGCAGACACCGAAAAATCCCGTGAGTTCCTAGTGATAAAACCAAGACTACGAAGAGCTTTACCTGACAATCCATTGATATGGGGAATAAATGACAGGGAGCTGTCAAACAACACTCCCAAATCCTTAAATTCAGTGACTTTTGAGAGAAAATGTGAACCAATATGATAATCGAACACCATTAGCTGTTTAGCTTTAGAAAATGACATAGCAAAACATTTATCCTTATTAAGAAGTAAGGCATTGGAGAGAGACCAGTTAAAAAGCGAGTTCAAGTCTTCCTGGATCATCAGACAGTCGGACAAATTTGAGATTTTAAGGAACAATTTGAGATCGTCTGCAAAAAGTAAAAATTTGCAGAACTTTATTTCCTCTCCAATGTCATTAATGAACAAATTAAAAAGAAGAGGGCCCACATGCGAACCTTGCGGGACCCCAGATGTAACCGATATGGCGGACGAAGTCGAACCCTTGATATTCACAAATTGAACCCTATCCCTCAGGTAACTACTCAACCAGGAAAGCAACCACTCAGGAAACCCGTACAAACTTAGCTTACGAATGAGCAATGCGTGGTTGACCGTGTCAAAGGCCTTCGAGAAGTCGGTATAGATGGAATCGACCTGGTAACCACCCTCGAAAGCCCCGACAATGTAGTTGTGATACAGAACAAGATTAGTAGAGGTAGACTTGCCCTGTCTAAACCCGTGCTGTTGGTCTATTAAAAGATCCCTGCAGTGCCATGCCAGGTGTTTGTTCAAGATTGACTCGAAAAGCTTAGGGATAGCGGATAGCATAACTACTGGCCTATAATTCTTTATATTATCTCTCTCGCCGTTTTTGTATACGGGAGTTATAAAGCTGTCACGCCATTTACCAGGGAAGGTCTGTAATTTCAGAGACAGATTGAATAAGATTTGTAGAGGTTTAGACAAACTAAATACACATCTTTTCAAAAAATATGTAGGAATATAATCAGGGCCACAGCTAAGCTTATCTTTAAGACCAATGATAGATTCAAAAACCTCAGAAAGATCAAACTGAATGAACGGGACGTCAACCGTGTTTTTCGCTGCAAAGCCAGGCTCAACGTCTATCTTTCCAGTGCTGTACACACTGGAGAAATGACTAGCAAACAAGTTAGCTATGTCCACGCTTGATTCAGCTGTCACGCCATTGAACTGCATTACATCAGGAATTCCATGGCTTTTATTCAAGGAATTAAGATGATTCCAAAATAGTTTAGAATCAGAATGAATTGATTCATCAATAGTAGAAATA